GCAAGCAGACCTGGTATGTTTCGAGGTTAACCCAAGATCTGGACCCAAGGTCACCCAGGTGGCTTCCAGCACTGCAGATCCACTACCTCCACTGAGGTTGGGCCTGGATCTCTTTATATACTTTTGATCTGCAAACCATGTGAACATGTTAAACAAAAATATGATTACCCAAAAGAAAATTTCAGTCTGGCTTTTTTTTCTCTCCTGAAATTACAGAACCCCCTAGCTGGACGGGGGGAGACCACATACTTAAGCCTTCTGGAGTTATCCTGCCATCTCTCTGACACCTTCCTAACTACCAGTGTCCCCACTTGCATTTTTAGACTCTTCCATCTACCCTTGGTCTAAGCTGAAATACTTGAGAAGCCAGGAGTGAGGCTCCGGAGCCAATTTGCCTGGGATGACCCTAGCTCTGCCACTTACTAGCTGGGCAACCTTGGGCAAGTCTTTGCCTCTCTATGACTCATCTGTAGATCGATGACAGCAACAGTGTGGACCTCATGGTTTGCAATGGGATGTAAATACATTGGTGAGTTTATGGTGTTTCAAACAGTGCCTGGCACACAGGAGTACTCACCACGGATGTGCAATTATCATGAAATGCCAAGTTTGGTAACCTGGTTACTTTTTTAAAAATTTGGGATCAGCAGTTGGCATAATGGCTATGTCGCTGGACTACCATGTAGTAGACCGCGATTTGAGTCCTGGACCTGGTGGCTTAAACTCACGCCAGGCACATGTGCATTCGTGCCCAAGATCCCGAGTGGAGAATGGAGGAGAAGGGATTGCGGCATGGCCATCCCCCTTGGGGGGTGATTTCTCGCTTTCTGTCCCTCTCTGTCTTTCTGGAAAGCACTCGCACCCTATAGCAAAAACCTCTCCAAAAAAAAAGTATGTGGAAATTAATATATAACTATTATATTTGTTATTATCTTAGTTTTGTATAGGGCGTGTGTGCTCGCCAGAGATAGAGAGGGAGAGATAGAGAAGGAGGGAAAGTGAGAAATCATGCCCCAGGGAGGATGGCTACACCTCAATCCCTTCTCTTCCATTCTCCCAGGACTCTGGGCATGCACATGCACCCTACGTATCTTTCAATCCACCAGGTCTAGGACTTGAACCTTGCAGTCGGCCATGTGGCATCCAGCTGCCTTAACCTCTGCACCACCTGTGGCCCTCCAACTATTATATATATATATTTAAAAACAGTTCCTTCACAAAGTATCAACCAAATTCCCCAGTGGTATATGCACTGTTTCACAGAGACCAGCCACCTCTGCTTATTGATGGGGGACAGGGTCCGAGGGTGGAGGTGGGGTTTGAAGGGGGTGTCCTGTAGCACACAGCCGCCAGGGTGGCCTCAGACCCCTCAGGGCATGCTGTCAGTCTTTACCTACCAGCTTCTCTTTCTGACACAGGGAGGAGCATCCTTGTGGCCTCCTCACCCTGTAAACGACCCGACCCACAGCTCCCCTGCAGATCCCACAGAGTTGACTTTCAGGACTTGGACTTCCTCTTACCAACTCTGAGGGAACCCAGTCAGACTTGCTCCGCCACCTCCCTTCTGGGGAACTTATGCAAAGCTCTCCCCATGAAGCGGGCCTGGCTAACAGCACAGGCTGGGCCTACCTCTGGTCAAGAGGACACACGGAGAGGGGCAGTTCCCAGGCACCATTGCCCATGCTGTGTTCTTGGGCCAGGGCGCCGTGTCCCTTCCTCTGCCCACATCCTGGTCTTCCGCAGGATCTCACGCCCCGGAAGCCTCTGTGGACTGCCAGGATTCACAGCATCCTGCCTGGACCCTGGCCCTTCGTCTACAGGTTGGCTTGAGCGGTTGATACTGAGCCCTGGAGACTGGAGTCTCAGGGCAGGGGCTGCTTCAGAACCTGGCATTCTGGAGGACGGCCTTTCTCGAAGGTGTAGCTCAGGATCTGTACACTGGTAACTCAGCGGCCATAGCCAGGCAGCTGACTGTTAGTGTGGTTT